GGTTCTGGACAGCTCTCGTAGCCCTGTCCTCTTTTGCTTCTGTTACAGGGGTGGCATCAGTGGAGACGGAAGGGGGGGGGGGGTGTTTTGGGCTCTTTGATAAAAACAATGTTTGTCGGAGAGAAAAATATATATGTAGGCCTACCCATACAAAAAAATCTATAGAATTCTATTAAAAAAACACTATAGAATGTCTCTAATATATTGTTTAGAAAATCTATATAAAATTCTATAGAAACCTTACAGAAGCCCACTATAAAAAGTCTATTAAAACTCTATAAAAAATCTATTAAAAATATATAAAAACACTAAAAAAACTATAAAAAATATATTAAAACTCTATTAAAAACTATTAAAACTATGAAAATTCTATTCTCTATAGAAAGTCTATGAAAATTTAATTTTAAAAACCCTTTAAAAACTATAGAAAATCTATAAGCAATTTTATAAAAAACCATTTATAAATCTATAAACTAAAACCCCTATAGAAATCTAAACATTTTATAAAAAAAAAAAATTACATTAAATTGTATATAAATTAAACGATTTCCTATAGAAAATCTGTGTATTCTATTAAAAAAAAAATTGTGGGTGTTGTGTGTTTTTGGAAAATTCAAGTGGTCCTTCAACTGGCCCCAATTCCAATTGGTTTTCAATGGTCCCAGTTCCAACTGGTCTTTAATTTGTCACGTCCCAGTTCCAACTTGTCTCTATTGGCCTAACTTTCCACGTTCTCTATTTCTTGTTGCCAATTAGTAACAATGGCTTAAATTAATCAACTTCTGCAGACTTACAAAATACACTGAGTTCATATACAAACCATAATTTCTTTAATTAAAAACACCAACAAACATCATACGGTAGGGACATTACTTCCCCAGGGTCTCATTTACTAGCATACCCCTTCACATATCGTTCTGCTTATGTCTTACTGTTAAACATACTCTACCTCAAAGTTAAGGCTATTCTAGAGTTCTTTGCTTTACAGTCCTGTTTAAATATGCATTTTTCCGTAATGTAGTCCTATCACGTATTAAAGCATCACTATAGTTTATTGTATAAAACACTATACATCTAGATGTGTATAAGAGACAGGAAAAACATTTGTGTTACAGGGGTGCACAAACCAGCATTCTTTGTGATATTGCAGCACATAACCATGCCTTTTCTTGTCCGATTGTACCAAGCTAAATTAGTATGAATTATGCCGTTCAAATCTAGTTTGAAATATTGAATCTCAGTGATTATGCCAAGGGCTGATGGGAAATTATGCTAAATTATACCAAATGTTTAATTTAATGGTTGTTTAATAAGCGCCTTTCTCCCACCTAAAATGAAAGCAACCCTATTCTCAATACTATTACTGTATACCCAGTGGTGCGGCCAGAGTCGACAGTATCAGGTCTGATGTTCCCGACTCGGAAAATGGGGGAATTGGAATGGCCAATTTTCCGGACGGGAAAAAGTTGCCGGGGTTATCAGGGAATCAAGAACCCTACAATATATATTATATTCAATATATATATACTTTCGAAAATAAATACACAAAAAAGAAATAACATTCTTCGGGAGGTGTATTTATTTAAAAAAATTAAAGTGACTAAAAACAACACTTATAGTCAAATTAAAACAACATAGGCATAGGTGTATGGTG